GATACCCAATGACCAGATGTCAGCCTAAGACAGAGGGAAGGGAAAAGGGCAAAAAATTGGGGGTCAGTACTTGTGCCATCTCTCTGTCTCTGAATATTTAATTGAGCTTATTTTCATCATGCAACAGAAGCAGTCTTGACTAGTTAACAGATGTTCACGTGGAGAACTTGAACATGATACTAAATGACAAGCGAGACAAGGAAGTACTTGTACCTTGAAGTCATATGCCGACTGTTTAATGACCTCTGGTGCCATCCAAAATGGAGTTCCTACAAATGTGTTTCTCTTAATTTGTGTGTCTGTTAACTGGCCGGCCACTCCAAAGTCTGCCAGCTTGACTTGTCCATGTTCAGATAGTAACACATTGGCCGCTGTAGGCAAAAAGTAGAGTTATTAATGTAAGGACACTTCACAGTAGTGCTGGGCGGTATGACCAAAAATTTATATCACAGTATTTTTCAAAATTATACCGGTTTCACGGTACATGACCGTATGTTTTTTTTTTCATGCATGACCGGGTGTTAACCATATTTTCTACTGATTGAGAGAGGAAATACTGCAGTATATTGACTTAGAATGCCCTATTTTACTGTCATGATGAGTGAATATTGTCAAAAAATACCACACTAAATAGTGACGAAACACGATCCCTTTTAATGTTAACCAGGAGTCACTCTCATTTATAATCGCGGCATCGTCTGATAAAATCAACATGCATCTACACTAAAGCTGTTTTGTACTCATTTATTGACGAGTCGGCTGCGGTGCGGCCAACTGAATGCGCTGCTTCTCTGCTGCTCACTGCACAGAACAGACGCCGAGAGAGGTGACACTTCTCCGGGAAAGTCAGACCTCGCGTTCGCGGGACAGCACTGGCGAAATCTTCCAACTGAACCATTGCTAAGGTTTATCCAAAAAAGTCGCTAGGTTTGTCAGTATGTATATTCTATGGAAAAAAGCCGCTAAAAGGGTCTGAAAGTTGCTAAATCTAGTGCTAAAGTCGCGCTCGTGTGTGTGAGACGTGGGAGCTGATGGCAGGGGGCGGTGGATATTTGTGGCGGTCAATGTGGATATTGTGGATGAGTTCTTGTGTCATCACGTTCTATTAGTTCTACAGCTTCAGTTTCAGAACTTTCACGCTTAGTAACACATACAGCTGTTCCCTCACCACCGTGCAACAGTGAAAAGGGACCCCTTTCAAACAGTGTCGCGTTCCGAACGTTGTTTAAGCGACATACACCGGTATTGCGGTATTTTAAAAATTCATATCATAACAAAAATGAACACCGGTATTCTGTATGAACTGGTATACCGCCCAGCACTACTTCACAGGACTAAAATGAACTAAACAGAGGTAAGTTTTGCATACTGACCTTTGATATCTCTGTGAATCTTCCTCTCTGAGTGGAGGTAGTCGAGTCCTTTCAGTATTTCTCTGAGAATGGTGGCGATATATACTTCTTCCAGAGGTCCCGGCCTTAGCTTGGCACAAACACATTAGACGATGTTAAATATAGTGACATTTCCTGTGCCATTGACATTTTCCAGAGTTGTTTTTTTCCACAAAGTAATTTTCCAAAGTTATTCCTCTCTTTAAGGAACCCACAAACATGCTGAAAAGACCAACTCACCAGGTCTAGAGCCGATCCACCTCCCAAATATTCCATGATTATCCATAGTTTAGAGCCCTGAGAAACACAACAAACCAGAAAATGGAACAATAAATATAACTGATGTTCTCTAAAAGGAACAGTTCAGCAAAGCATGACCCCATTTATGGTGCACTTTTATCCTTTCTGAAATTTGAGACTGTTATTTTAGCATTATTTATTAGTATTTGTTAATATTTTGAATTAGCTTTTATTTTTGTTTTCAGTTCTGAATTTAATTTTAAGTTTTAGTAATTTTGTAATGTGCGTTTGTCATTTTTTATTAGTCTTTCTGGTATCAATTTACTTGGAAGTCTTTATGTAATGCATTATAAAATCATTGTATGATCTCAAATAGCTGTAACCAGTTAGAATTCATTATAAAATATCTAATCAATTCATTGTTACACCTTTAGAAAGTATAATGCACTAAAACACATGGCAAACAACCCTTTGAACATAATGCATTTTAACTTTTGTTTATTTATAAAAAAGGTATAATGCATTACATCATACATTTATGAATGCCTTTATAAGGCATTATACAGTGGGTACGGAAAGTATTCAGACCCCCTTCAATTTTTCACTCTTTGTTATATTGCAGCCATTTGCTAAAATCATTTAAGTTAATTTTTTTTCCTCATTAATGTACACACAGCACCCCATATTGACAGAAAAACACAGAATTGTTGACATTTTTGCAGATTTATTAAAAAAGAAAAACTGAAATATAACATGGTCCTTCAGACCCTTTGCTCAGTATTTAGTAGAAGCACCCTTTTGATCTAATACAGCCATGAGATTGAAGGGGGTCTGAATACTTTCCGTACCCACTGTACATAAAGGCTTTAAGTAAGGTATTACTGTTTATTTTATTCCATATAGCTTTAATTTTTATTTCCATTTTAGTAGTTTTAGTACTTCAATGTAAACTTATTCCACTTACAGTATTTGTACTTAGTTGCCAAGTTTTTTTTATCTAAAATGTATATTTTATTTCAGCTATTGAAAACTATTTTTATTAGTTATAGTTTGAGTTAACAATAGCAGCTCTGGTTTGAGGCACACTGGTTACTGTCTACTTTTGCTGTATGGAAAAGAACAGCTGAAAGTCTGGAAAATACCTCTTTTTGTGTTCCATGGAAGAAAATCAGTGACATTTTACAACAAAGTACCATAAGCCAACAGTGAACACTGTTAATTCATGTTTGTTCATAATACAGGAAATCTGACAAAGTTATTTGACTTAAAATGTTAATTTCTACATATACTAATATTTATCCATCTTAAAGTATTCATTGTTAGTTAATGATGCCTAAAACATGAACTAATCTGCTGTCATTGTAAAGTGTTACCAGGAAGTCATAGTTTTTTTTTTCGAAAAGATGCCGTCTGGGTAATCTATTCCTTTAAAAATACACAAATATATTGTAATATAATAAGAGCTGTGCCTGAAAGAAAGAAATCTCCACAAACCGTCAAATAGGAGCCGTAGTATTTGGTGACATAAGGGCTGTCACACTGGCTGAGCACCGTGATCTCCTGCTGGATGTCTTCAATCTCATCCTCTGCCTCCTCCAAGTCAATAATCTTAATGGCCACCACTTCTTTCGTGCGGTTGTTTATGCCCTTGTATACCTCTCCAAAAGAGCCTTTACCAATTCGTTCCAATTTAGTGAAGTACTCTTCAGGATTCAAACATGAGTTCTAAAGGAAAAACAAGAAAGATGTAAAGATTCTTACCGGATATCGATGACAAGATCCAATATCGTGTGTTTTCTTTACACACGTGATGGACGTGTTGTCCTTTTATTCAAGCAACAGATCAACAAATGCTGGAATATCTACCCAATCATCACTCCACTGAAGGTCCGGAGAAGATGAGAATCTATAAAGAGAACTGTCAGAAATCCCATGTAGTTTTTTAAGCAATTTTTTCATTTTTCTGACACCTAGGAAAACACTAGGAGCATCTGCTTCCTTGTTCAGTACAGCATAAAGATAAATTGTACTGACAATCCATCTGGAAGTGGTACTGTTTTATTAAAAAAACAACAAGCTCTTTTGACGACAAGACTCAAAGTTCAGGAGATAAGACCTCCTCTTGGTATAAGCTAAACGTCTGATTTCCACATTCATCACACTTTTATTGCACCTTTTTAAAACACTGAGCAATCAAAATGCAAACCTTTACTATTCTTGGTAGCACCACCCATTGGATTCTCTATAAAATGAGATCAACAGGATATTTTTAACACTTCTCAGAAACAGGCCAGCTGCACCTTTCGTCAAAGATACTCCGAGGTGCAACCCACATCAAAACATGATACACTGCAATTATCATACTGACCTACAAAACGTGCGCATGTGCAACATAACATAAACCTATGACATCCATTATCATCTGGATCGATACAAAATAACTACATGGTCTCATATTTAACATAACAGTTCTACGCTGGGAGTTCCTCTGTTTTTCTCTATTATGGTGGTGTCAAAAAGTGTGATGTGAAGATTCTCAATACAATATAACAGTTGCAAACAAGGATGCACAATAAAAATGTTGACCATCAGACATTTTATGTTAATTTTCCATGGGCTTTGCCATTTTTGCAACCCTGTCACCAACATTTAAGATATTTTGCAAAGCTCTAGCAATAAAAGTTAAATGTCAAAATTAAATGGACATTTAAAAAAAAATGTGCGAGTGGGTAAAAGGGGTGCAAATTTTAGCCTAAATTATGATGTTTCTAGCTGGATCTAGCTACACTGTTAGACTTTTTACTGTATTTTTGCGGTAACTTACTGGCAGCACTATTGCCAGTAAGTTACTGTAACTACCCCTTTACAGTAGCTTATCGCAAGTTCATTTTACAGTAT